TGCCCCGTATAATTAAGACCTGTTTCTCGATCTTATGAAAAAACATTGGTCTTTTAGATAAAATGTTTTTAGTAGTTTCTTACTCTTCTTTTATGTCCAAGTATACCCATGGAGTATGGTAGGCAATATAATCCCAAAATGATAATATAGAATCTGCACCAGTCTACAAATAAATGGTGACCATTACAACTCTAACTCTAAATCGCAGGTTCTGCGTTTGGATAACATGTCATTTTACATCCATCTTAATCGAAATTAATCCAAGAAAAGCCTTGAACCATGTAGCATCCATATATTGTAAGGGTTGGGTTTTCCCTCCTCGTTCAATCTTCTAGTTCTCTGTTACAAGTCAAGTATTCTGACGAGTTATAATGATGCCTCATCGTACAGAGATGAAAACAGGACCCTCACTTTAATCATCGTTTACCAAGGGATTTTGTTAAGAACAGCGATTTATATTGTCGGTTTGGGTAAGAATTCGCCACTACCTCGGTTGGCTAGGGACAATTCTTTGTTTCATACAAATAATGCTGAAACCTTTAGAACTATTTATCTTCATCGAATACAGCAAAGTTATTATCCTCACTACGAGTGAGTTCATCAAGTAGATGTGGCAGAATCTTCTCCCTCAAAAGGAGTAATTTGTTTGTAGTGACTTCATCGTTAGCCAATCGCCCAGTCCTCTGCTTCAAGTTCCTTATTCTGAAGCCTCTTAGTCTGAGATGCTTCATCCTCCAGAAATGTAATGCTAATTCCTAAAGAGGGAGAGGCTAATAACAATGAAAAATAATCGCCCAGTAGCAATTTGTTCTTCAATTTCCAAAGTTATGGAAAGTATAGTCAACTTCCATCTTGTCAAATATTTAGAGACTAACAATTTACTTAACGAACGTCAGTATAGCTTTCCTAGAGGTCGTTCTGCGGAATCCTTCTAGGTTTCTACCTTTGGAGAAATATTATCATTCTATTCACCATTTTGACGGGTGTAAAATGATATTTTCAACTCTATAGATTCACTGGAGCACCGTCACTGTTCTATCAATACTACAATGGCATGTGCTCCTCTGAAATTAGGGAACTTGTTCTCGATACCAGCATTTTTCCTTTAACCTCACACGTCTCTTATCAACAACACACCCATAATAACATATTTTTTAAGTTCCAACACAATGCACAAACAGTCCAGTCAGTGCTGTTCCAAATAATTAAAACGGAACACTTTCACCGTTGTTTATAAAGGGATTTTATCCAAAGGATCCAGAGGAAATATTGAAATAAAACCCACACTTTCTCCTTTGTTTATAAAGGAAATTGAATTGAGAGGAACAAATAAAAATCTAAAATGAATTTTAACTTTAAAACTCTGAAATGTGGATGGTATATTCTCGGAACGATTTGTTTGGTTGTGGTAATTGTAACTTAAGTTAGAGTTTCATTTTGGTCCATTAATCTATGTCAGCAGCAATTGAATTGAGAGTGAGAGAGTAGTCAATGTACATACATGCATACATATACATACATACATTTGTATGTCCGATTGTACGCAGTGGCAACAGCAGCTATAATAACCAAACAACCAAATATGAAGCAAGTTGTTACAACAACAGCAGCAACTACTTTGCTATGTTACATATAAATTTCTGTTTGTTGCCTGCTGCTTGAAGCCTGTTGGTCTTGTTCTGTTGCTGTCACATCACTAATTCATAAGATTTAGTTTTCAGTTTTTGTTTTTATGTTGTTGTTGTCTTGTTGTTATAGAAATATGTATTGCTGGCGTTGTTGTTGTTGTAGTGTTGTTGTTTTTGATAGGCTTCGCATGCTTAATGTTTCTCTGTATTTTTCGTAAATTTCTTTATTTTTTTCCACTTTCATTTATATAATTTCTTCTATTTGTATATTTATGTACATTTGTGGTCCTTCGGCTTAAAACTACAAACACACAAACTCACATACATACATACATAAATATTTTATTTGAATATATGAATGTATATGTAAATCTATGTCCATTTGCCTAAAATCTGGGTCAAACAAATAAACAAACAAACCAACTTCTCATCTTTGCTAGAACGTAATGGTACATATTCTGTTTCAGATTTTGTATTTGAATATTCGTTTTTAGTTTAGTTCAGTTTTTTCTTCAGCATTATTAAACAGAAAAGTAGTTTATCATGTTGAACATTTTGCTGTTCTTGTTCAGTCAGTGTTAATGTTTCAATTCAAAGATTCAAGATTTTAACATTTACCACACATACACACAAACAAACACACTCATTAATTCCCCACTTTCATACACCATACAAAGACGTTGAAGAGTGAAATTAAAGAAATTATTTCCTTGATAATAATCAATGTTTGCACATTTTGTTATTTGTGCAAATGTGTAAATAGGGGTTTTGACCAAAGAGAAGATAAAAACAATATTTGATTTACATAAATAAGATTCATTGCACCCTCAAAGGTTTTATAGATCCTTGAGATACATACATTCATGTATATGTGAACATTGCAAAATGTTGAAGAAGATTTTATGGTAGAATTTATTTAAATATTTATTATGGAATTAAATTTATCTGATTGCTTTTGATAGTTGGACTATTAACATAATTTACACCCTTATGATTTGTAGCATATTATATTGTAAAGTTTTTCTTCGTAAAAGGACTAATATGGTTGATAATATGGTGATTTATGGACTTCGAGGTTTTTATAGAAGTCTAAGCATGGGAAGAGTTACTACTATATCTAGCTTCGACGTGCTCTTCGATTCCATACTGAAGATCCTTATGGCTTCACCTTACCAGTCACCTAAACTCCAGAAGAAGAATTATTCTGCGCGCACAATCACCACATATTTCATGTGTTGAAGGGCATCAACATAACACCCTAGATCTTTTTCTTACTTCCCACCCTAAAAGGTATGAAGTATATATTCTTGCACCTCTCGGTAATTCGGATCACTGCACCTTTTCAATCTCTAAACTTCGATTTTTATCTATAAAAAGGGTCGGTGGGCTGAGCTCAATGCTTCCTAGATAATA